CTTGTGACAGTGGGCTGTGTACAACTGGGAGAGTTGACAGTGGTGCCCAGTTTACACTTTTAATCCTGGCCCACATTCCTCCTCAGCCAGATTAGGAGGGGAATGATTTTTTTATTAGTTGGCTAGAACAATTAGACGTTATTAAGGTGGCTTTGAAACATACATCCACTTTTATTTGTGCTACACATAGATTTGATTCTTGTGGCAAAGCCCTTAGAGCAGTTGTTGATTCATAGATTAGTTACATGTATTTCTTTCACAAAAAGACAAATATTCCAAATTTGCTGACCTTTTCTATGATGACAAATGGCAGTAAATATTGTGTTACTCAGGTATAAACAACATTTAATCTGAACCTTCAAATTGCGTGTGGCATTGACACTGAATGCCACCTGTGTGTCTTCCTTAGTGAAGTGTCTTCTCAAATAGTTGGCCCACTTTTTTTATGGGATTTGTTATGGATGGAATTCTGTCCCCCAGAAGTATGTACTGTAAATCCTAACCTCTATGCCTGTGGTAACGTCTTAGTTATCTAGTGCTGCTGTAACAGAAATATCACAAGTGGATTACTTTAACAAACAAATTTATTCTCTCACAGTCTAGGAGACTGGGAGTCTGAATTCAGGGTGCCAGCTCCAGGGGAAGGCCTTCTGTCTCTGTTGGCTCTAGAGGAAGGTCCTTGTCATCAATCTTCCCTGGTTGAGCTTCTCAGCACAGGGACCCTGGATCCAAAGGACGTGCTGTTCTCTTTGGTGGTATGATGTCCCCAGAGTTGACAGAGAGAGAAAGTGGGGCCTGCTGGGGCTGAGGGTGTGGACTCACCACTCAGATGGACTAGAAGAATGGGGCAGTCCAAATCCGAGGAAGGAGAGTGGCCATTCCAGTGGACCTGCAAGGCAGAACCGAAGCCCAGGGCCGAGGAGCCTCCACCCAGAATCTGGAGAGAGGGTGGCCAACGCCCACAGTCTAGAGGGCAGGGCCATTGCCTAAATGGTCTCAGAGAACAGAGGATTATTTTCACACCATGAGGGCTAATGTAATGTGTTCTGCTGACTTGCTTGGTGCCTGTTATCCCTTCTTTCTCTCCAGTTTCTGCCATTTGTAATGGAAATGTCTAGCTTGTGCCTGTTCCACCAGTGTACTTTGGAAGCAGATAACTTGTATTCTAGATTTTACAGATGAAGAGAATTTTTGGATTTTGGTTGGAGTTGAT